TTACATTCACCCTGATGAATTTGTCGGCACTGTGAGCAGACTTTCTCACTAATCTTCTGCTCAGATCTGTTATCATATCTAACAGTTTTCGGCCCTCGAAAAGATGAAGGTCCCTCCCATTTTCTTTTCTCTACAATCTTTCCTTCTGATTATCGGTTCTTATTTCGTTCGGTTACTTCAGCTGCGTCCACCGTCAATGGAAAAGTATTAGGGTTCATAGCAATAACAAATTCTCTAATTGAGGGTTTCAAACCCCAAATATACCTCTCTATCTTCCTGGATTCAGTTGAAACATAATGTCCAACAAAACGAGAGTATTCAATGAACCTTTCGGTATACTCCCGAACAGTTCCATTTCCTTGCTCTAATTTCAGGAAATCTTCCTCCATTTGTCTCACTGCTGTTTTAGGACAAAATTGATTCTTGAATCTATCCACGAATTCTAACCAAGACAGAGTCTGTAAAATATCTGTTCTGGTAGACGATTCAACTTCCCACCAAAATAAAGCATTTGACTTTAATACAGAAACAGCAAATCGAACTTTATCTGTTTCCGGGCACCGAATGATGTTAAACACATATTCCATCTCCTTAATCCAGCACATAGCTTTTACTGGATCTCTTTTCCCAAAAAAGGTTGGTGGTTTGCATGCTAAAAACATCTTAATAGCTCCTTCTTTGTTGTGAGTTATTGGAGCAGAGGGACATACTTCTACTCTTTCCGTTTCCACCCTAGCCGGTATCCCCATGATAGATGTTAGAGTTTCCCGCAACTTCCCCATTTCCTCTGCCAACATATCTCTGGTTATATATTCTGGGTGTGGCACCTACCTTTCCTGAACATTCCCAGAGTGGGATTCCACATGTTCATAATGTATTTCGGTCCGACCCCTTCCCTGAGACTGGCTTCTTCCTCTGCCTCGTCCCTTTGTTCTTCCCCGACCTCTATTTCCAGACATGCTAGTCGGTAGATTTACGGGTGTTTCTTCCCTTTCCTCAGATTCTGGATGGGCCACTCTTTCATATCTTCTAGTTCGGCTAGACATCTGCAGAGTTGAATGTTAATAATCACGTATTCACATTCCCAAATATAATGAAGTATTCAAGTTTAGATGTGTACCTGTAAATTCATAATTACGTTGGCCAGATGTAATTAAAATTTACCTTACACACTGTTCTTTCAACTCATCATATTTATTTCCAATGGTGCTAACTATGTCCGGGACCCTTAACATGCAATAAAACAGTTTAAGTCTAGGCATCATACTGTTGAATACCTAAATCCCTTAAACTCAGGCTCTGATACCATTCTGTAACGCCCCAACCCACACATTGCATGTAACACACATTTCATACAAAAGAAATATGTAATATCATTCCATTCAGGTCCCTTAGTACAAGAATCTAACATGACCAAATACAAGGTCCAAAAATTCAAAATACATTTCTTGTACTAATCAATCAAAACTGTACATCATAATAGATCTTCAAGCAGAAATGCATATAGGAAAATATTAAGTCTTCCCCTTTCCCTTACAATCTGTACCTCCTACAACACATAGTTAAAATCGCAAAACGAGGGTTAGACCAAAAGGTCTAGTGAGATACCCTATTTATGTCATTGCAGGGTGAAGATCACCAAAATCTTTATGAAAAACAAATATTCATATATATAACAAATATATGAACAAATAGGACATAATACCAGATCCTTTTTCATTTTTCAAGCAAAGCATTCAGCTATATTGTTGGGACTTCCGCCTCATCATTCCCTCAAGCCGGTCAAATCCGCGATTCTTAAACCCAAAGCTCATGTAGCAATGCAGAAGCATCCCACATCGGTGAGGCTAGGGGATTCGTCTTCCTTATAAGGAAGGGTGGATCTTACTCCTACCAGTGACGCGTTTTAAAGCCGTGAGGGGTTGTTGCCGGAAGGGGCAGCCCAAAGCGGACAATATCATATGGGCGGTTCCCTAGTATCGGTCCAACAATTGGTATCAGAGTTAGGGCCGCACCAATGTGGGGGGGGGGAATGTTGGGACTTCCGCCTCATCGTTCCCTCGAGCCGGTCAAATCCGTGATTCCTAAACCGAAAGCTCCTGTAGCAATGCAGGAGCATCCCACATCGGTGAGGCTAGGGGGATTCGTCTTCCTTATAAGGAAGGGGGGATCTTACTCCTACCAGTGATGCATTTTAAAGCCGTGAGGGGTTGTTGCCGGAAGGGGCAGCCTAAAGCGGACAATATCATGTGGGCGGTTCCCTAATATCGGTCCAACATATACAAATCTCATACCTCTGAACCAATCAGGTTTCATATAATGCTACTTTTAAACCTTTTCAAATCAAATAAGGTTAATATAAAGTTTCAGGCCAAACCTGATGTTTTCTCCTCAATAACATCCAGACTATGATTTCCRATAAGAACCTTGATCTTAAATCTTTAAATCACAAAGAAATAAAGATTCCATACCACGGTGGTCTTAAGGGATATAATAGAAAGAGTTATATCATACAAGACACATATAAATGTCACCCTTATATCCAAAGGTACACCTCTCCTTGATATGCCACCCTTATCCCATGGTACACCTCTCCTTGATATGCCACCCTTATCCCATG